AAATTCCCAAATTCCAAAATTTCCAAATTCCCAAATTCTAAAATTTACATTAACATTAATACGAGCTAGTTTTTATACCCGTTGATACGCATGTTACCAACACTTACATAAACGTAATATCAGATGTTAAATGTCGTAATAATTGGATAACGCGTTAGTAATGTCTTGAGAAAATCACAACTTATTTAGCGATAATCTGTAGATAGGTACAATCTCAAGTAACCGTGAAACTGCAAAAATATCTGTTTAGATTATTTTGATAAAGCTGTATGTACTAAATGCATCAGCAATTGCAAAATTTTACATAACAAAGGAAGTTTATAGCAGAGAACAATATGTTCCATGAAAGCATAAAATAAAAACTGAAATAATATTTAATATCGCATATGTTATATAATATTATGAATTTATCATTCTTTGACAGTAACGAAAATAAAAATGGTTCAAATCACAGTACAATTACACACATATAATGATAATGTTTTTTACCGTGAACTTATCGCAATGCGTAACACGTATAACTCACGCGATTATAACACGGTAGTGTGATACGACAGTAGATGTACGCGTAATTATTGCTATTCTATTACTCATCGAAGGTACATACTAAGATATTTGTCTATTACTCTCAGATATAGCTTTGTAATACACCTTTGCAATTTTGTGACGACTTACAGTTTTAAAAAAATATAAATACATAAAATTTTGTAACTTTCTTTTAAAATTGTCAAAATTTATATTTCCGTTGATATTCTAAATTAAAATTTATGACTAAAGTCTTCAAATTTCCTGGTTCGGAAATTTAGAAATTAAATTCAGAGGATATATAACAAGAGTGGGGTAATATAATAGATTTGCTAATGGTGGGGGTAGATCAGCTGGTAAAGAACAATTGGCGGGAAAGCACTGGTTCATATCTGTCCTAGAAATAACCTAGGGAAACGTTCACCCACACTTGTCCTTAATTAAAGGAGACCTATCGAACGAAACTGCTATCCTTCATAAAGTGAATCATTCGTGAAAGACCTACTTTAGTTCTTACTTGCAATGTTTGCAACTGTAGTAGTCACATGTATCTGTAGAGAAGTGTATTCGTATAAAAGCACACGTAAAAAGCGATAAATGCATAAGTTAGTAAAAAATGTGTTTGTAAGAGTTGTATTACATTAATGTTAGAAGTCATTGCTTACTAATACTATCGTAGTCTCGTTATCTTTTATCGGACTTTGTCGTGAAAATAAAAGTTTATCGTACGATTTTGTTATATAAATAAAATGTACAAAGAAAGTATTTGATAAAGAATAGCTTTTGTTTAAATCGTTTTGCGATTAGTGCGTTACAATTTTTTTAGAAAAAAAAGAAAATAAAATCGTGCGATTTGTAATCACTAAAGCGTGTCTTTGAATGAAGGTCATTAACGATATTCAAATATAGAATAAAACATTAGGTATATTATTTGAACGACATATTTTTATGGTAATAATTGCATATATATTAAATATTTAAAAAATATGTTAATTAAAAACATTCAAACACAGCGTAGATAATGTTAAAAATTTTAGTAACAAGTAATTTATATATGAAAAACTTACTTCTCATTTTGTCCATGACAAATGTTAACAAATTTAGAAAATAAAATATTTAACAATCAATGATGTAGATTGTTTCCGTGGAAATATTGTGAAATATTTTATAAAAGGTCCGTTGAACAATTCGGAGAGTGTTCCATGCACCGCCAAGACAACAATGTGATTTCCTTTTACAAAATTGAGGTTAAGTTTGAAAATGTAATACGATGCTATGCTCGTAAACCGATCAACTGAGATTTTAAAATTCTTATTCATGAATATCCTCGTTGCTTCGAGTTCCCCGCCTCCCTTAGTTTCGTCTGCCAATCTCTTGTTAGTTTTTACTTTCACTTACTACATAAGTAAACATTACTTCTTTTGTATCGATTAGTTGAAAAAGAATTTATTAATTTTTCAAGCTGTCAACATGCGTTTTTAATTACATATAACACACATATAGATTTAAATAAGGAAACTTTATATTATTAATAATTAGCGAAGTCGATGCTTCAAGTTTCTTTAAAATTACTTAAATAACTTGTATTTTAAACACTTGTTTGACTTACAATAAATATTTAAAAATCGTAAATAATGAATATTACAAATTTTCAATAATATTTTATACAATTACGCACGAAAGATTACACTAATTTTGCGACGAACTTTTGTTTTATTTGCGCATCTGCTGTTTGTTTTTAAACTCTCTGCAAAATATGATAAACGCATGCACTCTTACAACGATAACGATACCTAAATACTTATCCACCCAGCATGTAGAAAGTTTCATGATTTTCAATTCTTATTGATCATAATATGACTCATTTATTAGGTGAAATATCTTTATTTTTATGTTTACATATTTTTTTAAAAATAGAGTGTAATATGTCATTTATTTTATACGAATATTGATGTGTCCGCATCATTATTGATTCGGACTGTTTATTTTTTTCCCATCGTGTATATGACCACGAAAGTAGAAGCAACCTATAGAGCTTTTATTTCTCATGGAACAGAGTAGGTTGTTGATAAAAATTTGTTAATGTAGCGCCATCTATCACGAAATACATACTTTCCTTAGAACAATCATTAAAGGTATATTGTCATTTAAACAATGTTATTAATTTTAAAGAAAGTATCGTGTACATAATTTTTCAAGTATTTTTTAACGATATATAATTGTCAATTGTATTATTATATTCTACAATATAGAAATTTTTATCAGAAATATTTAACCTCAAATTTACAGTAATCTAATTCTTTGGTTTACAGAAAATGCGACTAAATCAGATATATTTTCACACCCGGAGGCTACCTCAAAAGGAAAATAAAGTACCATTTAAGGAACTGTATCCTCTGAAATTAAAAAATTATGTTTCTGGAGTATCAAACAGAAATACAGGTAAATATTGTATAATATACTAGAAAAGTTTTGATAATGTTATTACATATTATATCTCGCTTCTATTTCAGAGAATAAATGTTTGTTTGAAATGATGTTAGTTTTTACTTGCTGGCAGAAGACAGAATTTGATAGTAGTAAATGTAGTGACGTAATACAAAACTTAGAAATATGTCATGATAGACTTCGGAAAAATATGAAAGAGGAGAAAATAAGCAAGAAAAAGGATATACCCACTCCTGGAGCTAAAAGTTTAACAGATAAACAACTCAATTATATTTTACGCCAATACCCAACTGTTTAATTTATTTAGAAATATTTTTAAATTATTAGATATGAAAGATTTATCATCATTCTTAATTGCTATTGTATGATACTGTATATAAAATACATTTCACTTTCATTGTGGAAAAGTTTTTATTTCAGCTTGTTCCTTTGCTCGTGCTTGTAATTGTTTTACTCTCAATCTAGTAGAATAACCTACATATATGAATAAAAACATTTTAGTTATTAATTTTCAATATAAATTAATTGTATGGAAAATTAATATACGTACGAATTGGTTGTTCAGTGACACAAGTAGCAACTTCTTTTATGGTATTCAATTGATGTTCAATTCGTTGTAATGCTTTATAATTTTCTACTTGTTCATCTTTATAATAATAATATGTACAAAATAATGTAACAGCACAAAGTGTGAGAGCTACTTTCCTATATATCCATGTTGTGCTGATCAAGGTTTCCTGAATTAAAAAAATTTTATGTAAGAAACACAATAGATTAATATCACTTTTAAAAATATGTATAATTCTGCATTACCTTATCATTGGAATGAGGTATAACATTATTATAATACTGAACCAACATTCGTTCTATTATAACATTTAAACTCAGAATCGTAAAAAGTGTTATTCTGGCATCCACGGTTCTTTTAGAAGAACTAAACAATGCACACATGATACAACTAACTGTATAATACATAATAGATTGAAACCAAGAAACTTCTCCCATGATCCAATCTTGAAAAGTACGTATATAAGAAAAGATTTGAAACAATAATTCTCTTTGATCTTTTGCTGTTTCTCTGTAAATAGACATGTATTCTATAATTTTTATTGCGTAAGAAAATTTGAGCTGATATGATGATCATAAACGTACTTAAAGTCCTTAGCCATATTACTAACACTTTCAGATGAAGATTTCAATATGGTGCCAAGCTCTTTACCATGGTCTAAAAGTTTATTTTGCATTTTGAGACTCTGCTTCTGACTTTCAAGCATTGCACCTTGCATTTCTGAGGCTTCTAATAATTGCTCCTTCATTCGTGAAGAGACTTGATATAATCTATAAACAGGAAGAATAATTTATGTACAAAATTTAATAATAATACTTGACAACTTACTCTTTAATGGTATTATCAGTCTCAATTTGCCAAGCTTCATAATTCAGATAAAAGCACATGTGTGTAGTATGTATATAGAATTCATTATATACATTAAATGCTCTGTCTGACATATTATTGATGCAAGTTCTGCAAAATTAATTATTATATTACAAAAGAATATTTCAGTATAATTCATTGTATCCAAATAAAGAAGGTGAAATTCACCTGCGTTGATTTTCTGAACTTATGTCATGACAATTGTAATTTGTATGACCAGAATCTTCTAAGAAACAGTTTGCTAGTTTCAGAGCCATTAATGAATGTTCTTGGTCATTCAAATTGCTACAGCTAACTTTCATTCTTTGAATAGCATTATGCCAACATGTTCCATGTTGAGACAAAGATGATTTTGCTGCAAATAAAATAACTGTTAAAACACAATTTTATCACAAAAAAGGAATTTATAATAATAAATTACAGGCACCTTTAATCATTTGATACTGTTTCTCCCCCAATTCCCTCAATACTGCATTTCCATCTATTGCAAATAAAACCGGAATGGGAAGAAACAGAAAGGTAATTATTTTATATTTTCCCATTATTTTCAACATTGTTAATCAACATTTATCTTTTCGCTGCAGCTATACATTTTGGACGGCTAACAAGCTACCTGTTTCAAAATTTGAATTCAACAGGTAGTTAAACAATAGAGAGTATATCTAGCACTTGATGTTGTACGAAAAAATTATGTTTCTTATAAAATGAAAAGTTATGAAACAAACAACTGTTTTTACATTTATATAGATATTTATTAAAGAAGTAGAAAATGAAAGTTTTACAAAGGAACTCGTTTGTAACGACCGCACGATTCAAACTACCATGGCGTCTCTTCAAACAGTACACATTTAGAATTAATTTTTAAAAATTGTATAGAATAATTATAATTTCGAGGTTCCTTTTTTTAATGCAAAATAAATAAATTATTTTTCTGATTCGATTTCGATAATTTCATTTATAATTTAGTGAAAATGCGAGGTGAAAATAAATTATTTCGTTTGGTCATTGAATATGAAGTAACATAGAGAAGTGTGCGGTTTACGCGCCATCTTGTAGTCGAATATAGAATTAATTTCAAACTCCGTTAATCAACGTAAATCATTAAAATTCGATAGTACAATATCCCAAGCCAAGTATGTGCAATTTTATTGTTACAAATCTCTCTTCTTTTCTGTAAACTAATTAAGTTAAAATTCGGTCCTCCATGGGTTAATGGATTCTCAAATATATGCTGGGGAGATCCACCCTGGATTTCTCCACAACCTATTTGTTCATACTTTATTTTTGCTTCCAAGCTAAAAATTTCCCAACCCAGCAGTAATTAATAAAATTATAAATTGATACAATCTTGTTAACAGTAAATAAGTAATGAAATAATTTAAGTACTCGCAATTTTCTGGGAATCCACAATTAGTCTGTAGATGTAACGATTTCAGTTTCATTTCGTGGAGAACCCTTTCAAAGGCAGTACAGCATTCGTCGTTTTATACGTGACTTCCAAAAAGGTTGTAAAAAGACAACGTACTCCTTGAGCACCGTTGGCAACTGGCCAGTATCTTTTTCCATTGAATGTGGACCGACCGAAAATAAGTGGTCGGTAACGAGACAGGAACAGTGACAGAGGTTCGATCTCTTCTTTTCTTAAAGACCGGTTTATCCTGCGGATATAAAACATCATAGTGTATCATTGTTCGGACGTGTTCTTTCAGGGTTCACCCCGAGAAAAATAGGTTTGGTCATTTTTTCGTAGGTAATCACCAAATGGAAAGTTCCAATTTCTTTAGGGGATACGAGCCCTCAAAAGGTTACAATATGAAGGCAATTTCGAAACCCCATTAGCCAGAACAATCGATTTCGTAACCGCCGTTATGCAATTAGAGAATTTTCTTAGATAGCGTCGCGGTTATGAAATCATGAGAGGCACGGTCTAGTTCGAAAGGAAAATATTATTACGTCGATTGAACCCGGACGATAGGGTGATCAATCGATCATCGGTACCCTGGCGATTTGCCGAAGTATATGGGAGCGAATCATCCACGCCTAGTCTGCTTGACGTCACTCCCGTAAACTCTGCATCGGCGAATTAAAAATAAATGCGACCCGGAAAAGCAGTCAATGTCGTATAATTGCAATCCGATCTAATCCAGATCGTTTCCTGCCAACTAAATGAAGACAGTTCTCATTATGTCATACTTTCGTGATTACGTACTGTATCATTTCTCTAATTATCAACCAGGAACATTTACAGTATACAAGAAATTATTTGTAAAAACTTGTAACTCTTTACAACAGGTGAATCAATAGTTCTGTGAAAAGATGCTCTACAGGAACTTAATTACTAATTTTTCTCACCATTCGTATTGTTTGCTCGCTTCCTTATGGATACGAACTCCAGGTGGTCGACACTACGCTCTTTTACAATTAGAAATTATACCAAGCAGATTTGTAATATACAATCTTAAACATGTATAAATTTGTAGCGAAATTTCTTTAATATTACTTATGCTTCAGATTATTTTCATATAATTCTTTGTACACACCTTCAGTAATACAAAATGATTGGTTACAGAGTATTTTATTTGACGGTGGTTACATTTTTATTTGAGATGTCCTATTTTGTTAAGATGCTTTAATTATTCTCCCCTTTTCTTCGGTTTAAAAGTAACTGCATGTCGGTAGTTCGTGTTAAAGAACCAACGCAGCGTGTAATAAAATGTATAATGTAAGTCAAGAAGCGAAGATAAGAAAGAAAGCTAGCATAATGGTGTTTCGTTCTAGAAAGTCGCTTAGAGGGAAGCCACTGTAGTTGCACCTCGAGATTTAATCGACTAATGCCCATTCAGAAGTTAACATAAAAAAAACGAGTTTAACGACTGTCTTCGAGTTCCACGTTCGTGTTTCTTGCTTGTACCGATTTTCAGACGGGAAATTTCCGTCAGTGACGCGTACACCTTGAAGATTTACGCTTTGGCAGAAAGCCTAACTCCACGTTTATCTTTCCAGATGTCATGGAACCTTCAACGTTCTGTCTTATTTCTCTTTTACTTTTTTTATTTACGCAGAAGAGTTTGGGGAAATCTCATTCATTTCTTACTGAAAGTGTGGGAACATCTTCGTCGAATATTTTTAACTATTGGCTGGAATAAATATTTCAAAGTAAAAGTTAGTACAGGTAAATAATTTATAATAATTCAGTAAACGTCTCTCTGAAGAACGAAAGTAAATTGCCGTACGCTGGAGCCCCTAGCGCAGGAAAATAACAAGCTTCCTTACTCAAATCTTTTAATTTTGTAAATTTTTAAAAAATACAGTGATCGTCTTTTAAATATAGAATCAGGAGAAATTGATTTATAAGAAAAAACAGCTGTGAACTGTCTGAAGCATTTATTTCAGAGTTTAAAAAAACCGCCTCGACTCCAGAAAGCGCGTTACAATGTCCTCCAGTGTTCGGAGAATTCGATGGTTCTTCCAGGACAAAACGCTGTGTGCAGAGATGAACACGTCAGATAAACGTACCATTTATAATACAGCATTTCTCATTATACAAGTTTATCGTGGGAGATGTACGATGGTCTCGTCCCTTCAAGTTCCTCCGCTTCTTCCTTTCCGTTGAATCTCGAGAACACGAAGAAAGGTAAGGGAAACAATTATACAACGCTGGGCGCGAATAAATGAACATGACTCTTGGCAATTCGATTATAATTACGTTACCTATGTTCACACGCACTCTGCGATGTATGAGATGTGCGTAGAGAGATCAAACGTTACGTTGCCGCTAATGAAACCGCGTTAACCCCGAGGTTATGAGATACATTGGAGAATAGGTAAAATGTTTTAGATAAATGTGGTTTTTTATGTATATTGGAGAGTGTGAAGTTATGGAGTGAGTTTAGAGAGTTTAGGAAGAGGTTTAAGTCGTTCGTGAGAGACAAAGGATTTGTACAAAAACTTCTACATTCTCAGATTTTTAAATTTATAATTTGTAGAAGTGGTACATTTGGAGGGTTAAGTTTGAGATGAATTTAAAATTTGAGTTACTAAATTGACAAGTTTATGGATTTGCAAATTTTCAAATCAGCAAATTTTTAGACACTCAAATTTCTAAATAGTCAAACTACAAATTGCTTCATTTCTAGCTGACAAACTCTCCAATTGTTCAAACCCATTAATTTCAAAATCGTCAAATCCCAAAATCGCAAAATTCGCAAATTTGTTCACAGTTCACCAATGTACTCATAACCCAAAAAATTACCATAACCAAAGAAGAGATAACAGTCGATGCACACTTTCTGAAAAAATTGTAACAAGCATGAAAGGGTATTAAATTCAGCCATTTTGATTTTAATCCTTCGTTGCGTCGTCTCTAAAAAATTCTACCAAAAATTCTAGTATTTTCTTAGATTGCATATTTTGCTGTTAGAAACATTCAAAGTGCAATATTATACAACCATTCTTTGAACAAATTCGAAAGTATTTAAATAAATGTAACAGACATTGTATTATTGTCCAATTAATCTCCATAAATTATAAAAATTCTAATTTTCATAAAATGAAAAAAGTTATACAACGAAGAGTTAAAATCCCACATGAATGACAATTTTCTTTTTCGTTGCTTTTTTTTTCTTTTTCATCATTTTTCGTTTTATATACAAATCGAGGTACACAATTGAATACAAGACGCTGATAGATAGTCGTTAGGAGTCGATCGATTAAAATTAGATCGCGAATGCACGATGGAAAATAAGAACGCACTAGTTTCTGGGATTTTTTAGTATGATACAAACGGCGAAAGAGAACCGAGGATATATGATTCTTTTACGAGTGAAAGACATAATTATATTCGTTCCTCTTCGTTTCAGCGACGTGTGTAGAACGCTTATGATTAGAGAGGAAAACAAAAACGGGGAAAAAATGTTATAGTTAAAGAAAGGCTTTAAAAGCAGGTAAAATCGGCTAAAATGAGTTACATGTACAATATTTATCGTGGAACGAAACGAGACCACTTCCTGAAGACCATTCGCGAGCACAGGAAGTGTTTGTACACTTCGATGCAATGTAGGCTTCTTTTAAATCGATGTTCGTTTGAAATTTTTTAGTTTTCAAGCTTCTATATTTTCAAATTTGTTAATTTTATTATTTTTATGTGGATTTGTTACTTTTTAATTGGTGGAAGTTTCTAAATTCTCAAATTTCTAAATTTCTCAAAATTCTAAATTCCCAATTTCTAAATCCTCTCTCTATATTTCCGGAATTCCTAAATCCCCTTTCTATATTTTCGGAATTCCTAAATCCCCAAAATTCAAAATTTCCAAGTTTCTAATTTGCCAAATTTCTAAATCCCCAAATTTCTAAATTTCCAAGTTTCTAATTTGCCAAATTTCTAAATTCCCAATTTCTATATTTCCCGAATTCCTAAATCCCCAAATTTCTAAATTTCCAAGTTTCTAATTTGCCAAATTTCTAAATTTCCAAGTTTCTAATTTGCCAAATCTCTAAATTCCCAATTTCTATATTTCCCGAATTACTAAATTCCCAAATTTCTAATTTGCCAAATCTCTAAATCCCCAATTTCTATAATTCCCGAATTCCTAAATCCCCAATTTCTAAATTCCCAAATTTCTAATTTGCCAAATCTCTAAATTCCCATTTCTATAAATCCCTAAATCCTGATGTCCTAAAGTCCCTATGTCCCCACATTCCAAAAAGTTCCCCAAAAGTCCCCACATTCCAAAAGTTCCCCAAAAGTTTCCAACTGACTAACTTCCTAAACATCTACATATGTCCTCAAGTCCTTACATTCCCATATCTCCAAATCCCAAAATTCTAAAAAATCACTAGGAAGCCACTATATCCCCCAATTCCTAAGTTCTCAAATTTCTAATTTCCAAAAA